CCTCTGAGCTTCTGTGTGTGGTAACAGAAGTTGTTTTTCTAGAAGCTTCTACTAACAGCCAGCCTCCTCAGGACCCCAATGTCACCTTCTTAAAGAATGTTGGGGAGAGTGTTGCAGCTTTTCTGAGCCCCTTGGGTAAGTGCTTTACCATTTGTTATCCTAATCCCCGAGACTGGCTTAAAGGTCCCTTTGAACAGGAGCAGCAGCATCAGCTGTTGAGCCTGATACCACAACCCACCTCATGCTAATGCGGCTTGGAGGCTGCATAGTACTAGTTTACTCCTGGTACTAACAATGCCTGGGCTCACAACAGCCACTCAGTACCTTTTTCAGAGCCCTCCTTTGGAAGGAAAGGAGGGAAGATTACATGAACACGTTACTGCTGTAACACTGATTTTAGGTCAGCAGTGACTCAGGGTTTTGCCTGGCTAATGTGAACATTGATAACTCCTGCCCTGGCCTTCTAAACGTCAGCCTTTGCTGCCTGGAGGAAGATAATTATTTGGTGCTTAACTCTTCTTTGTTTAAAGGCTTTCCATTTTAATTCCTAGATGTCACATGGCAAATTGTAGCATTACAGAAGTATTACAGCATTTAGATCCATGTTTTTTTAGGACTGAGCTTTGAAAAAAAAATTTCAAGACTTCCTCTATCTTGAATGCATTTCTAGGTATTGATGTTGATATTGATGTGGAGCATGGGGGACAGAGAAGCAAAGTGACTCCTGCTTCTCCCAACCAAGAGAAGAACAGTGCTGAGACAAGCAGCAGTACTCCTAACCAGAATGTTCAGACCAAACCAGGCTGCAATAATCCAGATTCTGCTACAGAAGTAAATGTTGTTGCAGAGCAGATACAAGACATGGTGATAGATCCTGTGTCCACACCAATGGAAGATGCCACCTTCCACTCCCAGGTACAAGAACTATGACACTAGTATAATGCTTGCTGAGGCTTTACTAGAAAGGAAGATAATTAGCATGCACTGTGGGGTTGAATATTAAGATGTCAGGAGATACAGCACTGTTGCTGTACAGGTTTACAGCAAAGGTGGCCTTGTGGATGTAACTTCATATTAAAGGCAGGTAGTGGGAGCATCTATCCTACCTGGAAAGCACTGCAGCACCTGGATCTCTTTGTCTTCCTGTTTCAGGAACACTGTGAGTCCAGCAGCTTGTCAGGGGGTGAGGAGGACTGGACCCACTTATCTTCCAAGGAAGTGGATCCTTCCACAGGTGAACTTCAATCTCTGCAGATGCCAGAGACAGATGGTCCCAGCTCCCTGGAATCATCTCGGGATCCTCCCCAGCCAGGACCTACAGGACTGCGAGAAGCTGCACTCTACCCACATCTCCCACCAGGTATGAAAATGTATGCAGGTTTCATAACTGACAAGTAATTTCGCTCTGGAACTGCCACTGTGCTTAACACAGAAGACCTGATTTTAAAGATCGTAGAAACCCAGGTCACATAAGTTGCAGCTAAACTGGTTCATAAACTTTGTCAGCAGATATGGCAGCTCTTGTACCCTGTTAAGAGGTGGTCAGGTTCTCCTGAATGTGGGCAGCTAAGTCTTAACAAGACTTCTGACCTTAGATAACATGCCATTCAAACACTATGACATAAGGTGGCATCCTGAACCATGTCCTTGCTCTGGACCCTCTTCAAGAGAGCCCTTCAGTGCAGTATGCAGACTAATGCATCCTCTGACATTAAGACTATTCTGGTGGCCAAGCCACATAACTGAGATCAATAGCACAGAGTCCTTCAGCAGGGCCAGCTGAGTCTGGCTCAGTTTTCTTAGCTGGTTGTGTCTTGCCTCAAACACTTGCCCTCCTGGAAAACAAAGGAGAGCATGTTTTGTAGTGTGTAACCAGTTAGGCTAGATTCATGAGGATTAGTGCCAGCCAACCTACTGTGTGGTATTAAGGGCTTGGCTGCCTTGCCAATGATGTGAAAGATTTCAGCTTCATTCTTCTCTTAACAGAAGCAGACCCTCGCCTCATTGAATCTCTGTCCCAGATGCTCTCCATGGGCTTCTCGGACGAGGGTGGATGGCTCACTCGACTCCTGCAGACAAAGAACTGCGACATCGGGGCAGCACTGGATGCCATCCAGTATTCCAAGCAGCCCCCTCACTTGTAGTACGGGTAACAAAACCCCCTTTCCTTCTCACTGAAAGCAAACAATGCAGTACGACTTGCTCAGCGGTTATCTTTCTTCCTGCTAAGGGTTTGTGTCTCATGTTCCTACGTGCTTGTAGAATGGAGGAAAAATAAAGGCTTCCTGTGATGAGTCTGTGTGAGTGTTTAAGTGTCCCAGCTGGAGTTCTTGGCTCAGTCCTTCCACTTGTTTAACTAAGAGCATGGGAGCTCATCAGGCTGCTCTCTGTCCAAGGGCCTGCCTTTTTGCACATACCTTGGGGTACACCCTTAAGGCTACATTTCTGAAGGGAGTTAAAATGCTTGGCTGGGTCTGAAGCCTGCTCTGCAGCTCTAGAAGAAAGGGTTGCTACAGGAGATCTAAACAAAGAAGTAGTAGCACAGGGGAAAAGAGTTGTAGTTGGTAATGGGGAATCACAGAAATCAATGGTGCTGGCTAGATTCCTAGGAGCTTTCTCCTCCCACACTGACCTACTTCCATTCTTGTTCCTAGCTGATGAGGTTGCTAGACAACACCATGTAACCCTGGTACTTGCCCACTGCAAGAGTCTTCCCCAGACACAGCCATAGAGCAAGGAAACAGCTTTAATACTGGAGTTCTGTAAGGCTAAGAGTGAAGACAGCTTAAGGTCAAACTCTTGCCTCAGCACTTGAAATACAAAATAGGGACAAACAAGAAATCAAGACCAAAGATGCCTGAACTCAGAGATCATCATCAAACTCCTCACCTGTGCAGAAGAGGTGTTCACAAGAAACACTGCTTGGCTCTGGCCCAGCATTACTGATAACAAGGGTGCTTGTTCTCCTCAGGCTGTCAGAACAGACACCAGATCCTGCCCTTACCCACTGCCTTTGAGGTTCTCTGCACAACACATCCTCAGCTGAGCTGGGCAGTTTGGAAGCAAGCTGTTCAGTGCTAGCGACACACTTCTTCAATTCAAAACCTGTACCTTGAGGTAGAGTTCTTCCAGCCTGTGCTGAACGTCTGGCCATACCAGCACCTGCTGCAGTGGTGCTGTGTAACCCCATCCTTCCACTGCCCTCCTGTGGTGATGAGATGACCCTGGCACCATTTTTGCTGTAGTTATCAGAACTCGCAAGGAATTTTTCCCACTTGGAGGGTTTGGTACAAGCAGTTGGGGTTTGTGCGTTCTCCTCAGGCACTACAGACTCACAGGCAGCAGGAACCACACTGTCTGCAGAAACAGCACCTTCTCTGTCTTGATTAGTTGCTGCTACCAAACATTTCCTGCGCTGCAAGAAAGAGAGCTTGGTTATAAACTTAGCACACAAACCCAAGCTGCACTGGAGCAGGCAAAGGAAAAAGCACTTGGGTCCTTCAAATGCACCCAAATTCCCACCAGCCCCCTAGGGCAGAGCTGAGGCAGGTGTGCTGGGTAGGCTCATGAGCCCTGGGCTGGGAAGCCTCAGGCCAACTTCACTGGCAGGACAGGTGATAGCAGAGACCCCAACAACTGCCACCTGCAGAGCTGTCCCTGCTCAGCAAGGCACAGCAACAGAGGCTGCACCTGAGCTGATGGGGGAACCCTCACCAACCTCTCACTGACACGTAGTGATGGTTTTGCTTGAGTGAAACTTTTCAGAAGTCCTGATACAATTTCCTTCTCCTCAGCAGTCATGATAATAGAAGAACAGAGGAAGACTCACAAAAATTCAAACTCATGATGACACAGAAGAGGTCAGGAGAACACTGTTTTGTTTTACTGGCAGAAAGCATCTTCTACAACTAAAATACTTCAGAGGTTTTTACCTTTTTGGCTTGGTAGGCAAGCTGAAAAACTTGGTTTTCCTCTGCATGCTCCTGAACATCACTAGAGAGAAACATCTGGTGTTTCCTGGTCAAGAAAACCAGTCATGAAGAGCACTGATCAGCTCCACTGTGAGGTGTTTTTTTTTTCACAAAAGAGCAGAAATGTTCATAAAAAGCCTGGGTCTAGCAGTAAGAGAAATTTTACTTCCAAATAGAAAACCCCTGCCTAGGCCAGGTCACACATTGCAACCTGTACTTTGTTAGCTATCAGACTAGCTAACAAAGCTCCTTTCTGTTATCAGAAAGGAGCTCCCTCCCACATCTCCAAACCACACCTCACCACTCGGGGGCAGGAATTACAAAAAGAGTTTGTTCTGTACCTTTGTTCTTCCACAGTATTCTTCCCTTGGGAACAGAACTGTTGCCTTTCTGTACCTGCCTTCTCCTCCCCATCTTCCTGATCTTCACTGTCCTTGTCCAGGTATTTACTCCAGCGACTGGCTCCTGCCCTTCCCTCCTACAGCAGCAAAACACATGGTTCTCATTTCTGGTGTTGTTATCTCTGTGTTGAATGCCTCACACCACAAGGCAGTTTAGGCCACATTCCTGTATCACAGAATCACATAATGTCAGGGGTTGGAAGGGACCTCTGAAGATCATCGAGTCCAACCCCTGTGCCAGAGCAGGACTAAAAACTAAGGCAGATCAGTCAGAAAGGCATCCAGACAGGTCTTCTCCAGAGAAGGAGACTCCACAACCTCTCTGAGGAGCCTGTTCCAGTGCTCTGTCACTTTACAGTAAAGAGGTTCTTCCTCATGTTGAGGTGAAACTTCCTGTGCTCTAGTTTGAATCCATTGCCCCTCATCCCATCACAGGGCACAAGTGGAAAGAAGTATCGTGTTCCCACGTTCAGTGTCCTAGAGGGGCAGAGAGATTCCATGTACACCTCATTCCCTGCTGGAGCCTCTCTGGTGAGACATTCCCTTTCAGCTGTCTGAGCCCACATGCAGTGATCACTGATGTCACTTTGGTTCACCCAGGGGTCAGCGTGGGCTGGTATTTACCTTAGCTTTGTAGGTATCTC